AATGAGAAACTATTTTGTTCTGTAAGCCTTCATCTTAAGTGAGAATAACAGCACAATTGGAAGAGCATAGTCAATGTCACTGAACTGTGTATGTAGAAATCTTTGAAATGGTGTATCTTCGGCTACGTGTATTTTCACCAAAAACAGAGGTTGAGAAGTTAGAGGGTTGACATGTTGTGGGGCTGTTAATCAATGTCATAAAACAATATGTGTACTATGTTTCATGAGTAACTATTTGTTCTGTAAGCCTTCACCTGAAGTACAATTAAAAAAAAAAAAATAGAGACAGAGCTGGAGAAAAATGTAGAACAAAATTCAAACTCACAAAAAAAGACCAGACTTACTGGTCTGACAGAGACTGGAGAAATCCCTAGAGTATGGCTCCCAGACACCCTTTTAACTCAGTACTGAAGTCACTCCTGAGATTCACCCTTTATCCAAAGATTAGACAGGCCCAAAAAACAAACAGTAATATACGTAGCCCAACCATGTATTCGACACCAGCCAAGGAGCAAGGATGAGAAAGCAAGAAGGCAAGAGAGGACAGGAAAGCTGGACAAATGGAAATGGGGAACGCAAGGTCGAGAAGGGGAGTGTTGACAAGTCGCGGGGTTGTCAACCAACGTCACAAAACAGTATGTGTATTATTAACTCTTTAATGAGAAACTAATTCGCTCTGTAAGCCTTCATCTAAAGCGCACGCACGCACACACACACACACACACGACTACAGCCTAAGAAACCCTATGGGGCAGTTCTACTCTGTCCTATAGGATCACTATGAATTGGAATTGACCCGACGGCACTCAACAACAACAAAATCTCTGCATTAGTACAGTACTTGGAACATTCTTTTGTTGAATGAATACAATATCTAAAAGGAACTTACAATCAAGTTATAATTGAAAATAATTATGAATGGCTTTTAAGAAGCTTTATTATTACTGTTGCATGTTTTTTAAATCCAGCAATGCCTTTCACAAGGATAATAAATTATGAATGCATTAAGGAAGGCAGACAGAAAACATTCTATGCATTTATGTTCCAGAAAAGTTATGACTTGAAGTTCACGCTGAATACAGTTAAGGTAGAAAAGCAGTGCACTATAGTAACAAAAGTACTCTAAGCTAAGCAGTCAAAATAATTTACTAAGTTAAGCACCACCTCTACTTAACCCTATGAAGTTAACGCATTTAACGTCTTTGTGCTTCAGTTCTCTGAAGTGTGCATTTGTGCGTGGCGGTGAGGTCAACCCTGGAGGACTTTTAGGCACACACCCAATCCTATTCTTCTAAGATGGTATCTATAGTACTCACTTTGAAGAGTTTCCATTCTTTCCTCTTTCTCATCAGGATCTTGTAGTTGGCTTCCATGGTTAAACTTAGATAAGAAGAGATTCTTGTGGGACCTGAAGAAAATGAGAAAGCTTGTGAAAGGTTCCAGAAAGACTAGCAAAGCTATAGAAGAAAGGTAGGCGATTTGTCTTAGTATCTGTTCTAGGACCTTCTTTTACTTTGGCCTGCTTCCTTTGGTGCTCTCCTTGCTGAGAGCCCATACCCTTTGGCCTCTTTAGATGCTGCCAAGCTTCCCTCTCCCCCGTAACAAACTTATTTCTTCCATCTAATCCACTCAGAAATCAAGACTCTTTTGGCCTTCCAATTAGACCAAGAGTCCTCAAGACTGTAAAGTATTGAGTTTTATTCTCTCCTATGGCTTATAAATTTACTCCCAAAAGAGAAATTCCAAAATTCTTTACATGATGGCAGGTATCACTTGATTACCGTTATAGCTTCAAAAAAGGACTTTTTTTTTGCAAGGTAAGGCTGTTTAGAAATACATGATTGTCGAATACACTTGTCTGACTACCCTGCAAATCCGGGCAGCTATTATATCACCACCCAAAATGTAGGCCTATTTACCTATATGCTCATCTCAGAAATGCTCCATGTAGCCTGCTAATCCTTTCCCAACCTCTCAAAACTTTCTATTGTGTTCTCTGGAATGCCATTCTCAACCTCGTCACCAGTCCCTCTACTTCTTGCCTTGTCTGAAATATAACTCTCCCTGGGGACAATGTTTCCCTCTTTTGTGGCTCTCTCACATACAGGTTGATTTAATCTATTACCCTCCGTGAACGTCAGGGTCCAAGAGGTGGGTTTCTATTGTTTTTATTTCCCATTAATGCCACTTTCAGGAACCTGCTTCCATAGGAACCTCAGCCCTTAAGGATTTATGCTGTTAAGATGTATTACTTTCTACCATTCTTCATAGTCGCTCAGAAGCACTTCTCATCATTCACAGATCTTTCTCTGCTCTCAAGTGCTGCTGTTATCATGAAGTATTTCAGTGTTCTCATGGACATCCCACAGAACGTCCTGGCCTCTCAGTTCTTCATCTCCAATAACCTCCTTCACACCAAGTCGGCCAGGCCCTCCCACGGTTCCAAAAGTTCAGCATCCCAAATTGCTCTCTCTCTAAAATCCTTCATGCAGACTTTCTGCTTTCTGAACACATTACACTGCATATCATAGCTACTAGTAGATTAAAATATTTTTCAGGTAACTTCATAAAATTGGAATTTTGGGACATTCATCAGAAATGTAACCCCCACCCTCCTCCTGCCCCACCAGCATCATAACCTTGTTTCTATGACAAAGCAAGAGTTTACTAAACATGTGCTTTCAAGGACTACCTACATGTGCATTCCACTAATGGCCTTGTAGAAACAATATTAAACAACTCAGGGTCCCAGAGACAGGTCTCTACAGTCTGGAATTTCAAGACAGTTAGGAGTGGCATGCCACTGGAACTATCTATTATCTGAGGTATTTGTTAAACCATGCCATTTATATGGTAGTTATTATAACATATTTAGGTCTGCATGAGTTACTTCAATCAAAGATCTTAAAAATGAAGAAAAATGTCAATTTACTTCACCTCAATAAGGATACCGGACCCTCTGAGGATTCAGTTATCGCAGACTGTTTGTCACTAACACTTCAAAAGAAGAAAAAAAATTGTAAGATGTAAACAAACAAAACATTTTTATAAGGATAATACTTTCCACATAGTCAAGTCATATTTCAATTTATAAAGAATATCTTTGGGAAGAAACCCTGGTAACATTATGACGTATCCAGCCCACTACAACACGGCTAATTTTGTCCAGATGTGCTTACAAGAGGTATTAAATCAAGCTTCCCCAAACATAAATTAAGCTTAGTTAGTGCTGTAATCTAGCGTTCATAATGTCACTCTTTCAAAAAATCCTCCATGGCTCTTTATTTCTGTCCATTCAAGTTTAATTTCTTGGCCTCCCCAACATTCTCCAATTGAATTTTTAAACAAATCCCCCTCCCCCTGGTTGTAGGCAAGTTAGCGTCCACAAATACAGCATGACCATTAAACCTCTGTGCATTCTCTGGTTCTATTCCTCTCTCCTGAAACATTGACTCTTCTATCCACCTGTAAAAATCGTGGGCATTCTTGAAGGCCTTGCTCAACACCACTCTGCGAAGCTTTCTCTGTTGACATCTTCAGCGTTTACATCTATCTATAAGACTGTAACACTGAATTATATAACAGCTGCTACTATCTGTTCGGAGTCCCAGGGTGGTGCAAACAGTTAGGCACTTGACTACTAGCTGGAAGGCTGGCGGTTCAAACCCGCCCAGGGGTGCCTTGGAAGATCTGCTTCCAAAACGTCACAACCTTGAAAAACCCTCTGGAGTTCTTCTATGTCAACATGGGGTCGCCATGATTTGGGACTGACTCGAAAGCAACGAACAACACCAATCTGTTTCACATTCATAATTCTTGTTGTCTCAAATAGATTATAAACTTCATCAGAACAAAACGTTTATCCTTTATTTCATTTAGTCTGGATTCTACAGGAGGGTTCCACACATTCCAGCACTTGTCTGACCTCAGCAATCACAATCTGATTTTATGGTGGCTTCACTTGAATCCTGCTGATTCCTGTCCTGATACTGGTGAATTTGACACCCACTTGCCCTGGTTCTATTTGCTTCCAGGATGGCTTTGATATTTGCCTGATTCTTGATCTTTATTTAACCTGGCTCAGATTTTGGTTTTAGAGATAGCCCTGGTAGCACAAGGGTTAAGTGCTCGGCTGCTACTCAGAACGTCAGCAGTTCGAACCCACCAGTGGTTCAGCGGGAGAAAAGACTTAGCAATCAGCTCCCGTAAAGACTACAGCCTAGAAAACCGTATGGGCAGTTCTACTCTATCATACAGGGTCGTTAAGAGTTGGAATCGACTCAACAGCAAACAACAACAATTTTAGGTTTGCTGCCTGTGGCTAGGGCACCACAAATTTTATGTGTACCAGATAATGAACTAGGCACCAGGACACAAAGCTAATTAATATATTTTAAAGCCAATTAAGGCTCTTCCAAGAGTTCTCAATCTAATAACGATACAGATAGGCAAACAGATAAGTTACTACACAAGTCCTTTTATAATGGTGTGACTCGGTGCTGTAGGAGCACAGAAGTGACAACTGATCAGAGAGCTGGGCAAGACTTCACAGAGGTGATCTTTGAGCTAGACCTTAAATGGCAAGTAAGAGCTTGTCTTGGAGAGAACAGAAGGAAGGGAATACAAAATAGAAGGAACTAAGTAAGGGTAGATCTCCTAGTATTTGAAAATCAGAGAGAAGTTCTGTGTTGCTAGAAAGTAGCATATATGTGGCCATAGAGGGAGTAATGCTTAGAGATGAGGTTACAGATGAAAAAAAATAAAAAGGGGCTATGCAAGGCTTTGTAAGTCATGCCAATAAATTCTGATTCATCTAGTAGGAAATAGGAAACCAGCAGAGGTTTTTAAGCCGAGAAATTATTTAAACAGAATATTTTTGTGGCGATCTAACTCTGGAAGTCATGTCAAAGGTGGGTTGGTGTGGTACAAAGCTATGTAATAATCTAGAATAAAAATGGTAAGAAAGGATTAGCGGCATTTCTGAGATAGGACCCATAAGATTTAGGGGAACAACTGAATATAAGACGTGAAGAAGGAGAGTCAGGGCACAGAGAGGCAAAGAAGAACATTAAGAGTACCATTTAGACACATGATTGAACTTGAGATTGAACTGCGTCTAGGACAGCATTTAAAGTAGGTTGTGGTGCAAATGGTTAACTTGCTCAGTTGCTAACAGAAATAGGTTTGAGTCCATCCAAAGGCACCTCAGAAGAAACGCAAGGCGATCTGCTTTCAAACAATCAGCCACTGTAAATCCTATGGAGCACAGTTCGACTCTGACACACACTGGGTTGCCAGGAGTCAGAATCAACTCGACAGCAACTGGTGGTACTACACACAAAAAGGTACATGCATATGAAATTTGCTCTTTATCTGCAAGAACCATAATAAGTTTTCATGTAACCTAATTTTATTTAAAGCAGCAGCATTATACTGGACAGGAAGGCTAGGCCAAAATGTTGTGGGTCTTAGTATTTATTCAACTGTGAGTTTCTAAACAAAATGAAATAATCAAGCCAATAAAAATGAAATCTCTACTTTTCATAATGGTCTTAGAAATAAGACTTCAATACAGCCTTGGGAGAGGAACCAGCTGAAGCAGGTCATGGTCTGATACGTGGACACAACAGGAGGGACCACTATAAGACAGCTAAGCCTCAGTCCGGAGGTGTGACAAATGCAGTGTACATCCAACCTGGACTCCAATCTTCACCCCCAAATAAGTAGATACGATGGGGGTCCCTGCAGCTAGCAAGTCATGGTCCCAAGGGAAAACAATAACATTACATCCCTTGCCAAACAGATCCATCCAGAGACCACAGGGATTTGACCATCTGGCCTTTGGATAAGGGTGGAAAAATAGAGGGAATGAACCATGGGTTCAGCAGAAAAGAAGGTCTTTAATGATAGAGTTGTATCTTCCTCAGGAAGGTTAGTTTTCAAAGCCAGGGCAAAAGGTAAAAATCAATTCTGTAAAAATCACCACTGGAAATACCCAAAGAAGAAATAATGTAAGACTGAACTACTGTCTCTCATATGTACGACTGACACAGTCTGTTTTCCTCCAGCATTGGAGCAAATCACTACTTCTTCAGTTGATACAAGATGAAGTGATTAGCTTCCCCTCAGAGAAGATGTATGACAATGCTTTTCAAATGCCAGAATAACCCTCAGTACAGTGAGAAAGTCATATAATGAGGGCATGTGGGATCTAAGAACCACCTCATTCCAAAGCACACACTCTCTAAAAATGATAAGTGAAATTATCTATGTTATTTAAAGGATAGTTTTTTTGCACTTTTGATATCTGCTTAGCACATATAGCAGAATTTGCACAAGTAGTGAAGTAACTCCAGAGTACTCCAATATCCAAATGTTAGTTATCAATAAGATCACTTTTAATAATAGCTCATTAGCATCACTTTTACATAAACACAGTACATCGATAACCCCTGCCCCCCCCCACAAAAAAAATCAGTTAATGATTTACTAACCTTTCTCCTATATCCAAATTATCCGGAGTCTCCATTTCACTGTCATTACTATTAGGTTTATCTTGAGAAGTTAATGTCCTTGCTCTTTTAGTTTCCACTACTTTTGCTGCTGCCTTAAAAAGGAGGATGGGAGTAGGCACGAATTAATTAAGCCATTTTATTTTATTTTTTAAATTAAGCCATTTTAAATAAATAGTATAAATTTTCTAATTTTTTAAGATAATTCTATCCAAAGTATCTGTTCCTAAGCCAACAAAGGGTACTTCCTTGTGATCTTAACTAGTACCTATGAATTATTACACTGCCAGCAGCTACTTTAGCTACCTCCTTGGTTTACATGCATTATGGAGGGGTCTTTCCCTGTGAGTGTATTTGATGACATAATGCTCTCTAAGCAATGGTAAGATAAAAGGCTACTTTAAAGAATCAACAAAAATTCTAGATATTTTAAAATTACCTCACATCAATCAAGATGTTCCACTATAATTACATATAAACTTAAAACTTTCGAGGCCAAGACAAAATGTTATAAATTTTTTTTTTAAAAGATCCCTCAATCCCATTTTACTTTTCCAAAAATTTCTTTAAATTTTATCTAAATTAAAAATGTTATTTATTTCTTAATTCAGTCTAAGTAACCCCTACATTTTAAATTCTTTTAAAAATTCCCAACTTTAATTTTGAAAAGTTATAAAAGGAACTACAAAGAGCACCCATATACTTTTAAATTAGATTCATTAATTGCAACATTTTGCCACATTCTTCTACAAAACCATAACAAAGTTTAAAATTCTGATTAGTTTTAAGATACTTCTATTTCAAATATTTTGTTACTGTAGCAATTTTTCCTGACCATAGTCAAGTCTCTCTGAAATAATATCTATACCTTCATTAGAAAAGTCGATGATTTTTCATTTAGCACATAATTCACATAACTCTTAATTTTCTCCATCATGTGGCTGTAGCTGAAGTGTTGAAAAATGGAATGGAATGCATCTTTCTGAGAGATTATTGTAAGCAATTTTCTTTTTAAAGGCTAAGGAAAACAAAGAATAAATACATTAACACAAAAAGCACACAAAATTATAAAGACGAGATGTCATTTATTGAAAAGTCATACTACTAAAAACATAAACACAAGGAGACACAATTAAGAGCTTTTAAAAATTCTCCTTTGTTTTAAATGGTCCACTGATGTATTTTTTCTTACTGATTTTTTCTTGGTGCCAATTTTTTTTTAGTACTTTATATTTCGGACACATATAAATGGATAAAAATATTATGATCCTGAGAGTCTATTACCCATCTTAAGAAATAAAACATTATCAGTACAGTTGAAATCCATTAACTATCATAATCTGATTATAGCCTGTCTTATGTATCTCGTTCTTCTAAACAGAAATATCACAAATAGATGATGGTTTTACAAATTGGAAGTTACTCTCACAGTTTAGGAGGCTAGGAGTTCAAATTCAGGGCGCCAGCTCTAGGGGAAGGCTTTCACTCTCTGTCAGCTGTAGGGGAAGGTCCTTGTCTCCTTTCAACATCCGTGGGCCTGGCTTTCCTTGCAAATCTCCATGTGTCTTGGCATCAATCTTCCCCTGGGTCTAGGAGGTTCTCAGTACAGGGACCCCGGGACCAAAGGACATACTCTGCTCCCAGCTCTTCTTTCTTGGTGGCAGCAGGTTCCTTCCTTTCTGCTCACTTCTCTCTCCATTTATCTCTTAAAAGATAAAAGGTGATGCAGGCCACATCCCAGGGAAACTCCTCTTACATGGATCAGGGCTGTGAGCTGATAAGGGTGTTGCATCCCATCCTAATCCTCATTAACATGACCTAATCCTGCCTCAATAACATAATAGACAGCTCACTCCCAAATGGGACCATAACCACAGGCATAGAGGCTAGGATTTGCAACACATCACAAAATGGACAGTAATCAGATCACAAAATGGAGAACCACCACACAATACTGGGAATCAGCCTAGCCAAGTTGACACATATTTCTGGCAGACACAATTCAATCCATGACACAGGACTTTCCTCTCCTCAAGGTAACCATGACCCTGAATTTAGAATTTCTGATTACAGAGGTGGGGCCAAGATGGCAGAGTAGTCAGACACTTCCCGTGTACCCTCTTACAACAAAGACCCGAAAAAACAACTGAATTGATTATATATGGCAATCTGGGAGCCTTGAACATCAAAGGCAGAGTTGAGGAACTGGACTGAGTGGCAGCGGGAGGAAGAGACAGTTTGGAAGCAGTAAGGAGTTGCCAGACCTGACCGGGCGAGAGCCTGAGCCCTTCAGGCCTGAACAGCTTGGGGGTGAGCGGTGAGGCAGGCAAGCGGCAGTGCTCGGGAGGTGCGTTTTCCACAGTGGGAGAGACCCAGTGCCAGAGAGTCTAGAAGCAGCCCTCATCGGCGAAAGATAAGTAACTGTGTACTGCCCTCCCTTAGGGAAAAACCTCTCTCCCATTTATCTCCCCGCTCCCTGCTCTGCACTGGGTCCCAGACCAGCTTCAGCAATTGCAGAGTCCCATGGGCCAAAAGTATGATCCATCCCATGCCCAGAGCCATTCTCCATGCCTTGGAGAGTGAACAAATAAACAGAGAAAAAAATAAACTGCCGGCTCCCCTAAGCCAGGAACCCAGGGTAGGCACAAGCTCCTTTGCCTAGGCACAGGCATAAAGGATCCGTGGACTTTGAGTGCCTTTCCCCCCGCATAGACTTGTGAGGGCCCATCTCAACGGCATAGGCCCTCATTACTGCAGTACAACAGGGTATATACCAGAACTCTAACATCAACTGTTTCAACTGTGAAGTGGCGGGTTCTTGACATTTGACACTGCTCTGACCATTCTGCAGGGTCTTCACCTACCCACATCAGGGGCCTCAGGACTGGTGGCTCCACCCACGCCACCTAGCCACCTGCAATAGGGGCCCATGAATAAGAGGTGCCCCCAAGTCCTTACAACCAATAGCATTCGGTGCTCATAATCCAGCTGCAAAATCCACCCACCTACGCACTCTAGGGAACAAGGACATGCCTTCCTCTTGGACACTTGGGGGCGACCCTCAGCCCCCTGCCTTGCTCAGAGGGTGTCACCCTGCCGCAGCCAGACGCCTGTGCTTACAACAATCACCCATGCCTGTCTAGGACTGTAAGTGAGAGCCTATACCACACACTTGGTGGCTATCTATCTGGGCACCTAAGCTGAATCCATAAAGGAGGAGTGGGCGGACTCCTGAGCTCTATACCTAGTAACAGATCTAACCACCTGGTGACAGGATATTACAGCTTCAAAGGTGCCAATAATCAAGCTAGCTCACACGAGTGGCCTATTTGGGCATATCAAAACAAAACAAGAAGCTAGGACACAGTAAGCAAACATAAAATAAATGAATATAATAACTTATTGATGGCTCTCAGACAACAGTTAATATCAAATCACATAAAAAGACAATCAATCCATGATGGCTTCAGCAAGCTCCCAAAATAAAGAACCTAGAAATTTTCAAGAGGAGGAAAATTTCTTGGAATTACTGGAGGCACAATACAAAAGATTAATATACAGAAATCTTCAAGAAATTAGGAAGGAAATTAAGCAAAACGCAGAACATGCAATAGAGAAAATTTAAAAAGTTAGAGAAGAGCATAATGACAAATGTAACAGGCTACAAGAATCCATAGAGACAGCAATCAGAAATCCAGAAAATGAACAGTAAAATTTCAGAATTAGACAACTCAATAGAAAGTCACAGGAGCAGAATTGAGGCAACGGAAGTCAGAATTCGTGAGACTGAAAATAAAGCACTTGACACCAACTTATTTGAGGAAAAACCACATAAAAGGATTAAAAAAAACTGACGAAACCCTAAGAATTATGTGGGACTCCATCAAGAGGAATAATCTACGAGCGACTGGAGTACCAGAACATGGGGGGATAATAGAAAATACAGAGAGAATTGTTGAAGATTTGCTGGCAGAAAACTTTCCTAATATTGTGAAAGATGACAAGATATCTATTCAAGATGCTCATCGAACCCCACACAAGGTAGATCCCAAAAGAAACTCACCAAGACATATCATAATCAAACTTACCAAAACCAAAGATAAAGAATTTTAAGAGTGGCAACAGATAAACGAAAAGTCATCTACAAAGGAGAGTCAATAAGAATAAGCTCGGACTACTCAGCAGAAACCATGCAGGCAAGGAGGCAATGGGATGACATATATAAAGCCTTGAAGGAAAAAAACTGCCAGCCAAGAATTATATTACCAGCAAAAATGTCTCTCAAATATGATGGCGAAATTAGGGCATTTCCAGATAAACAGAAGTTTAGGAAAGTTGCAAAAAACCAAACCAAAATTACAAGAAATAGTAAAGGGAGTCCTCTGGTTAGAAACCCAAGACTAGAACACAAGACAGAGCAACCAGATATCAACCCAGATAGGGAAGTCACAAAAATAAATCAAAGCTAAAACACTGAAAATAGGGCAACAGATGTCAACATATAAAAGATGACAACATTACAACAAAAAAGAGGAACCTAAAAAATACAAACGTAGATTTTGCATATGGAGAGGAAGTCAAGGCAATATAAATAAATAAAAGACTGGTATAAACTTAGAAAAATAGGGGTAAATATTAAGGTAGCCACAAAGGAAACTAACAATTCTACAAGTCAAAATAAATAACTAGAAAAATATAAAGACTCAGCAAACACAAAATCAACAAAAATGAAAAAGGATGGAAAGAAAATACATAAAGAAAAATGACTCAGCACAGAAAATTAAGTGGGAACAAAGAAACTGTTAACAACATACAAAAAAAGACATCTAAATGACAGAACTAAATGCATACCTATCAACAATTACGCTGAATGTAAATGGACTAAATGCACCAATAAAGAGACAGAGAGTGGCAGATTGGGTAAAAAAACACGAACAGTCTATATGCTGCCTACAAGAGACACGCCAGAGACTTAAAGACACAAACAAACTAAAACTCAAAGAATGGAAAAAAATATATCAAGCAAACAACACTCGACAAAGAGCAGGAGGAGGAGGTTCTGGCAAAATGGCACTCTAGGCAGAAGCACCACGCCGTCCCTCCACAGCAAAGATCCAAAAAACAAAGCGGAACAGAGCATACAACAATCCTGAAACCCTAAAACATCAAATGAAGAGATAAAGAACTCGGCCAAGCACCAAATGGAGTGATAAAACTGACAGAGAACAGCGAGCGAGGAGAGATTCATGCAGAGGTCCCCTACCAGCTAACGCAGCACAGATCCACCATCTTGGACTCCTATCGGAGACCAGCAAACAGGGCGTACGAGAAAGCAGCCTCACGGAGCTTCCAGCAGGAGACAAAACCGGTAATTGGCGATATACGCTTTCCCACCCCCCACACTTCTTCACCCCGACTCGGCCTC